GGTAATACCATTTGGTTTATGTTTTCTAGATGTAAGAAGTAAATATTGACCGAATAATGTGGTTGATTGAAAATAAATAATGAAGTCTAAATGTTAAACATGAGAGAGTACTTGAAGAATCCCTTGTAAATAACTATGAGGTAGTTCTTTAATATATAATTAAATAATAGAATATTTTAAAAATCTGAGATGATTTGTGTAAAGCTCCTTAAAGGAAAAAAAGTCACAAAGATGTATTATATCATTGTTCTTTGATCAGCTTTTGTACCTTTATGGTATCCAAATTGCACTCACTGGTGTGTATCTAAAGCTGCTTTCTTACGGCATCAGTTCCACTTTCCTAACTAACACTTCGACAATAAATTTTCAAATCTTTCCATATCTAGTATCACTCCTGAAAAGTATTTTTGATGACTAACATAGTCTGCAAACACACAAAAAGGTTTTTTTCTGTTTGATTTTTAAATCTGAAACCAACAAATACCTTTGTATACTACCATTTGAGGATGAAAATTTGTTTTTTTGCCATATTTTGACTAGATATATCTGGAGGGGTTTGGATATTTGCTTCCCTTTAAATAAGAAGTAAAAAACTTTTTAAAATAATACTTTCTGAGTTTGAAGTGCAGCTTGTTCTTTTTTCTTAAAGTATTAAATGGAAAGTCAAAAATGCTCTAAATATTCCTTCTCTAGTTTGAGGAGAAACTAATTTATGTGAATCAACACCTCACATACTCTGGGTTTAAGAAGTTAGCATTATCTGAGAAGTTGCTATTTTTAGGCTCACTGTAATGTTTCTAACTTCGGTGCTCAGAGTAGTGGGTGCTTCCTTTCCCAGAAGGCTCTGTATTCTCAACAAGTGCAGGTCAATTTGACATAAAGCTACCTACAAGGAGCAGCAGGCCCATTGCAGGCTGTGTCTCTAACTTGAAAATTATGAGCAAGTATTGGGAGCCACAGGCTGTATTTGGGAACCAGCTGCATGTCAGTACAAGCATGGATTGTGGTCTCTGGAGACGGGGAGAGCACAATGCTTGAACTTAATTTCTTTGGGAGATAAGAAGAAAAAAATACCTTTCTACCTAACGAGATTGACAACGTATTAAATCTTCAGAAGTGTGCTGGACAGTTGCTAAGTAAATATCCACTTTTCAAAGATGATGATCAAGGAAACATCTCTACGAAGGGACCCGGATTTAAGGGGAGAGTTAGCTTTCCTGGCAAGGGGCTGTGATTTTGTTCTCCCGTCACGGTTTAAGAAGCGGTTGAAGTCATTTCAGCAGACACAGGTTTGAAACTTGGGTGTTTCTTTTAAAATATTTTTATTACTAATAAAACCACCCAGTGAACTAACGTACAAATAATGTTACAGCTCATTTGATATTAGATCAAGGAATTAATCTGTGTCCTCTATTCAGCTATTTGCAGAAAGCTATTTGTAGAGAGATTCCAACAGGTTTAAAAATAGACCTTCTGGACCTGAGTACAGTACTCACATTTTTCTCTTGTAGAGAGGAAACCAGTTTTAGAGACAATAAGTACAACTTAACAAATATTTTAAAATTTAGTGGAGAAATACTAGAATTTTTCATAGACATACCTTTGAGAAACAAAAATTTCTGTTAAAAGTCTTGTTCGTACTTTGATTTAATAGGCTGTGTTTGGGTTAACATACATATATCTGTAATGAATATTTTTTAAAGTATTGATCCTGTTAGTCTTTTTTTTAAGGAAGAAGTAATTTTATACATGGACAGTTATGTATGTGTGATATAATGCATGTAGGTATGAAGAATGGCAATTAACTTCTGGGTGGTGAAAGAGTCCTCAGCAAGCTGTGAGATGGAATCGTTTCTGCTTGCAATAACTACTTTGCAGAGCCCAAGCTAACTTGCTTACACCCTTACAGCTGGTGTCTCACAAACAAGTACCTAACACTGACTACAATACAAATCAAGGGCCACACACATGATGGCCATCCAGAATCCAGCAAGAGGATTAGTTATAAGTTTCATAGTTATTCTCACCCAGAGTAATTTCACATTATTTGATTGGACCATATGAAGTTTTTTTTTTAATAGCTAAAAGAGGTGGTCAAATATTGAAAATGCTACAATGAAAGGGTACTATTCAGAAGGAATATCTAAACGATACTGTTTTTTAAAGAGAAATATTGGAGAATTAAGATACTTTACCTAGCTAATTCTGTTTTAATGCTATTCCTATACTTGAGTGAAACAATTTTATTCAAAGTGAGCTGATGCTAAATTTGCTGGTAAGTCTGGCAAAATTTGTATTTCTGTGTTTTATTCTACAATATAATGTCTGTAAACAATCAGTTTTATTAAACTGTGTTAAGGTTTAAATTATGTGTCTCCTATTTAATTCAACGGAAGGTAAATTGATACCCTTGAAAGTTCAAAATAAATACATTCTTTTTATTTTCCCTTTTAAATACTAATACCACTTTTATTAAATGTGTATCAACCAATGAATCAATAAATAGTTGCCTGCTCCATGTGAAGAAGTACAGTAAGGAAAGTAAAAGAGACAATTATATAATCAAATATTTTCCAATTGAAATAAAAACTTTAACAGATAGCCAGGGTTTGTTCTGAATTCACTTATTTCTGTCAAAGCAAAAGTATAGAGTCAACATTGAAGGCTTTCATCTGAACCTTCTCCACCAGCATGTGTTCACTAGACTATTGAGTTTCATCCCCCCTGGCACCAGTGGTCTTAATCCTATGTTTATAACTGCTCTGGATATCACACCATGGGAAACAGAGAATTTTTATGATGATTAGCTTACCTGTCTCACAAATCTCTTTTAGCATAGAATAATAGAAAGGAAATGACAGTAATGTAAATGACCTTGGTAAAGCCTGCGAAGAACTGTATTCCTTATTTTAGAAGTTTAAGGACAATTTCTACTGCTACTAGCTCATAAGACTAGGTAATATTTGCAGGTGTAGCATTAAGGCAGAGAGAAATATTTACTTAGGTTATCAATTTGTTAAATCATAAGTGGTTTTTAAACTTTACATTGCTTTACAAATGTAAGCAATTATTTTATTTATTATAGAATCTGAAGAACCATGTTTAATGTTTTGAGACCCCCCACCCTTTGGCTCATTTTCTCAAATAAGAGCATATCTGTGCCCAGCACTGTTTTGAAACTTTTACCTAAGAAATATCCTTACTCCTATAATTTCCTTTGATCCTCAAAGCAACCTTTCAAGAAGTAAGGATTTTAGTCTATTTTATTACTGAAGTTCTGAAAGGTTAAGTAACTTTACCGAGGTCACAGGGCTAGTAAGTTATCACTGCTTTCTGTTAAGTTTTCCATCTTTCTTTGGTATCATTTCCCTCTGCGCCATTTCTTGACTATGGGTGACATCCTAATACTGCAGCAATGGTTTGGTGTGAGCAGCTGGCCTTCATATTCCCAGCAGTATTAATATATGAGCAGACTCCACTCTATTAATGTCAGATACTAACATGAGAAAAGGGTCATGTATAACAGAAGTCGGAGATACCATCATATTTATCATATATTTATGTGAATGAAGCTTATCTTCCTACTCATGTTTTTCAAGGGTAGCTAAGATTTTTATCCTGAATCTAAATATGTTATAAGCTCTTATGTCAAAAGGAAATATGATATTCAGATCTACTTACAGATGAATTATTGTTCACACTTTAGGATACTTTAAGGAATAAGAACACTCAAGTAATACTTTGTGTTCACAATGAATTTAAAATAAAGCTAGCTAGTCAACAATCATGGCATCTTTCTAACTTTATATGGCACCTAATGCAGTACCATGCTCATACTTAATTTCTTTTATTAATTTTTATTGTATTTTTTCCATTACCATTTAGTCCCCCTATACCTTCACCTCCTAAACTCCCTCACCTTAGCTATCGTCCTGCTTCCTCTAAGTCTGTCCCTGTTTTGCTTGTTCAGTTTGTTAACCATGCTCATACTTTACACAGCCCCTAATAGAGTACCTCATAGCCTCAATGGATAATTGATCAAAATTAAGAGTGGAAGTTAAAACTCCGAAAATCTTCATGGAATCTTTTTGCTTGTTCCAAGCATCTCAGAACTAAATTTAGTCTTCATTGATAAAATAAACCTTTCTACCTAAATGTTAGTGTATCTCCTCTCTGTTTCCTTAAATCACAGATAATCTTAATCTCTCCATTACCCTTCCCCCTTTTTGTACTGTCCTTTCTTATGTCTTTATTGTATGCCTCATCAAACCCTTTTTAGAAAAGAGAATGATATAAACTATAAATGAGTTAATGAACTATAAAGGTAGTTTGGCTATGATTAAATTAACAGCCATGATCCTTGCCTGTTAGAATGTACCAAAAGTGAGAGAACTTTGTATCTTGGAAAATATGACATGCCCCTAGGGGCAAGTAGATCAGCCTGGTAGAAGACATTCCAAAAATAAAAAGCTTTAATTAACAAGACTTTCTCTGCATCAGGGATTGTCAGTGATTCTACCTAGACAAAGTTAAACTGGAGAAGAAGGTGAAAAGATACTCCCTCCAATAGATTTTAGATCTACATATTTAAAAAGAACTCATTCTATCTGCCTATTGAAGAGAGAGAAATGTGCAGAAAGTCCAAGAACAGTCTTCAAAAAGAATGTCCAATTCCAACAGACTTAAAATACACCTCAAAATCCGTAATATGTCAGCTGACGTTGCTCTCAAATATCTGCCACATAATTTATGGGGAAATATATGTTAGGGTTTTTAAGCATAAATTTATGTAAACTCAGGTATTTACAGATAATTAATGTGTTTTATTAAGTACGGATAAACACTCCCTAGAAGCATGCTTGCCACCCTCTAGAGTAGAGTGAGCCCTTGATCTCTATTATCTCTAATTGTGGTTTATTGTATTTACTTCCTATTACTGGTGAGGACTTTGAAGAAATATACTGTTAATAATTTTTGTGTCTCATACATTTTCCTTCCAGATTCAGAATAAACCAGAAAAGAAACCTGGAACACCACTGCCACCTCCAGCCACCTTTCCCAGTATTCCCCAACCTCTTTCCCCTGTTCCTCATGTGAATAATATTGTGAACACACCATTGTCCATAAACATTCCACGGTTCTACTTTCCTGAAGGACTCCCAGATGCCTGCAGTAACCATGAACAGACTCTAAGCAAAATTGAAGCTGCTTTCATGGATATTGAAGATCAGAAAGCAGATATTTATGAAATGGGAAAAATTGCCAAGGTAATGTAACTACTAAATGATATATAATCTCCCTTCCTCTAGCGATCCTGATCTCCCTCTCTTTGCTGCCTCTTTGCTCGTTGTTTTTAAGTATGCTGAAAAAATTTATTTCTTTCCCTGTTGAAAAAATTGATTTGATCCTAATATATCTTTAGCTATGGTCCTATTTCATGGAACTCTTAAGTTTGAAGAAAACCTTAGTGGACCTCTTGTCTAGCTTTCCGTTTAATACAGGAATTCCAGCCATGACATCACTGACACAAATTCATTCTCTGCTTGAATGTTTTCAGTGACAGGAACCCCACTATCTTGCCAAGCAACCTGTTCCATCATTAAAAATAGCCTTACTTGGTAGAAATATTTTCCCTTGTGTTGAATACAAATCTCTTTTTTTTTTGTTCTCATCCAATAATCATAACTCTGTCCTGAAGCCAAGCAAGGAACCACCAGGCCAGCTCAACACTGTGATTCTACTCAGAAATAAATGGATTTTCCAATAGGAAATAAGTCTTTGATACTTTCCAATATGTCCAACTGGTTTTAATTTAAGATCTTAGCTCCTAATGCCAGAACTACTGTAAAATATTTAGTAACTGTATTCTAAACCTCCAGCCACCTCCTAGAACAATTAATACTGAGCATGACCATTACATTGTATTTGATCATGCCATTCCCCAACTCAGCAACATTCAGGGATTCCTACCATCCATAGCAGTGCTTGCTTTTGTTTGGGTTTTATTTTTTATCATGCACATGTATTGAAGAATTGGATCATACCTCAGGATTTAGCAGTGATTTCAGGCTGTACCTCAACAGACAAAGGGGTTTGGTAGGTTAAGGGCTACATGTGGACGAGCAGGAGACCAAGTGGGAGCTCCCAAGACCTCACGCACACTTATACTGGGATGGTTCCCTGCTTTTAGAAATCATATTTAAAAATTTGAAAACTGATACTGAGGATAATACCCAAACTGCTGTTCCCTAAGCAAGTCTGATCTACTTACCTTCTTACAGGCCTTCTTACATTTGGGCTCTCAGTTCTCCCTTCAAAATAGGCTTCCACTCCTGCCAACCCCCACATCGCCTATCCTTTTAAGACCGAGTTTCCATCCTGTCTTTGGAGATGTCCCTGAATCCTCACTCCGGTCATGCCCAGTCCTCTCCCCTACCTCTAACCTTGGAACATTTGTTGTTACTGTTAAGTAATTTGTAAATAGAATGAATCTAAGAGAAATTAAAAGAAATCCTTTCTTTTATTCCCCCTTTCTTCACTTCTAATCTTAGAACTTGCTCATTGGTCCCTTAGAAGATTCTGATAAAAAACAGACTCTTTCATTCCAGAAATAAAAATTCACCTGTTTCCACTCTATTTTACACATGAGGAAACTGAAGTCTCACAAGTACTTACCTGAAGTCTAGAACTAGTACATGTCAGGAGGCAAGTCCTCTAACTCCTAGCACTGTGCTATTTCTACCATGTTATCTCCCAAACATATGCTAACATACCATTAGCTAACTTCCCAGTATATCCACACTAATAAATTATAACTTCTTTTAGGACCTTGGCATTTGCTTGCCCAAAGCTTTGAGAAATGGCTGTTGTATGAACCAAAGACAGTAAATTATCTAAACGGGCTTGAATTATGAATCTAAATCCAAAAGATAGAATTTATCAAGGATGAATTGGGTCTGCATCTGGATATAACATGTTAACTGCATAAATGCCAAACAGGGTATTTCTTACATGACAACATTTTGTATGAGAGAGACAGGAGATTTTCGTGGACTGCTTCAGGCAGGCAGGCAAGGAGAGAGAGACTTGTCCAGATTAAGGGACATGATTGTTCCCTGGTGCTGTGCTGGGTCACCACACCTGAAGAGCTAATCCACATGATTAGTGCCTCACTGTCAGAGACCTGCTCTCTGCTCTGTCTTGAATTCAGGTCCTCTGGATCGACTTTCCTCTGAATATTCCCGACCCCTGACTGAGGAACCTGTTTTGGCCTTTCTGCCCCACTGCCTCCACCACCTGTGATCCAGGGATCCCTTCTCTGCTCCACTGTTCAGTGGCTCTGTAGCACTCAGCATATTCAGAGAAGAGAGCAGAAAGCCTAAGGTGGTCAAGGGAAATGCAGGAAAGAGTATGATGAAGTCAGGGATGGGTCTCTGCATGCTGGGGAGTCAGAGAAAGGACTTTGCTGTTTACAGGCAGTAAGGATCCATCTGTATGTAATCAGGGAAAACTGCCAGTGTTGAAGCTAACAGTGTCGAAAAGTTGAAAAAGGTAGAAACGCTGTATTGTCTAACCACAGTAACAGTCATTTGCATAACAATTTACTGCCTATACCTAATCATGTGGCACAGTAGCCAGTATACATACATGTCTGATTAACTTGTCTGAATTATACTTGATTATAGACCTCAATTCCATTTATGAATGCCAGGCATTGGTGTTCATTGCTCTTTGACCTTAATTGTCAGCTCAGCTGGCAAGATGAACTGCTCACACCATTGAAATGTTAAATTAACATTCATATAAAAGTGAGAATGTGTGTATTGTATAATGACCTCATAAGATTCACAAGTGTATTGGTTTGTATTGTTTTTGTTTTGGGTTACTGTATCAGCTTATTTTATTGGATTTTGTCTATTTTTAAAATCATTTATTTTAAAAATTCATTTAACCATGTCTTCCAGTTAACCAATCCCCCATTAAACCAGCTTTTACTTGGCCACGGCAGTCTGTTAGCACTCACTAAGCCATCCTTATTTTCAACCAGTTTTTACTATGCTGACTGCTCTTCTCTGCCACTAAGGAGTGAACTCTGCTCCTGCATCCCTTGCCCCCCATGTGCTTGTGTTCTCACAAGAGGTGGTCATTTGAAAGGGAGAAGAAAGACAGCCTTTAAGGAACAAGGAGAGAGGTAGTCAGAGCAATAAATGAACATTTTTATGGATTCTTGTAGTGTATAAAGCTATCTAGAAGGCCCGCTTGAATTTGTGATCTGTTCTTAATGACACTTAAGCATAGCTGTACAGGCTGTGATCTGTTTTTTAAGTGCAAAGAAATCTCTGTGTTCATGAAATCTGCATCTGTTGGTGATGTTTAGCTTATTCTCCTTCAACCTCAAACAGCGCTGGACAGATCAATGCCCATTTCTTATTAAATGCTCAGTGTGTACTGTGTACTTCTTTCCCTAGCTTTAAGTGATGATGGAGAAGAAATGAAGAAATGAATCTAATAGGGACAAAGGAAGTGTAGGAACATAAACTGAAGAACAGTAAGAAAAGCACTTGTTAGAGACTAGACTGCTTGGAGGAACTGGAGGAATAAGAATGAAACTGTCTTCTGAACCATACAAAGCCCTCCAGCCCCTCTTCTGGCTGATATAGCTGCCTCTTGACCCATCATACCTGGGGCCTGTAGGGTACCATCTGTACCTTTATTTCTTCATCTACAGAATGGGATAAAAATACCTGCCCCCATCTGCGTGGGGATCACATTAGGACCAAATGAAATAACAAGATAAAACATTGTAAAATGTTAAAGAACACTGCAAATATTGGTGATTATCTCTTCCTGTGTGTATCATTAAACCCCCTTGCTTTCAGTTCTTTATGTTGTTAGGCCATTGTTAGATCAAATTATAGGTGTTAATCGAATTTTCTTTGTTCCACTGACTTTGATCAACACATCGACTCTTGTCTGTTCATATAAACATAAGTTTCCTAAACCCATTTTCTGTATCTCCTTGTACATCCCCACTTGTCATCCATTCTCTTCCTTTGTAAAAAGTCCTGACACTGGTTTATTCCTTCCTTTGTTACAAAAGACTCTATATTGTTGTCCTCAGATTAATATCATTTATTTTTTTCGACTCACATTGATCTCCTGATTCCCTTCGTCTTAATTCTTCATTTTTAAGCAAATGCAGGCCAGCCATGTATTTCTTTAATAGTCAAAGTGCAAAGGAAATAGACTTCCAGGAGATTAAGAAGCTCAGAGAGTTGCAAAGAAGTTAGACTCAAGAGAGCACATACTAAGGTACATCATAATTACATTACCCAAGATTAAAGATAAGGAGAGAATCTAGGTAAGAGAAAGGAGACAATTATCTACAGAGGAGTTCCCATAAGACTTATCAGCTGATTTCTCAAAAGAACCCTTGCAGGCTAGAAGGGGCTGGCAAGAAGTATTCAAAGTCATGAAAGGCAATGACCTACATCCAAGATTATTCTATCCAGCAAAGCTATCCTTTAAAAAGGAAGGGCAGGTTAAAGTGCTTCCCAGATAAGGTCAAATTAAAGAAGTTCATCATCACCAAGCCCATATTATATGAAATGTTAAGGGGACTTATCTAAGAAAAAGATGATCAGAAACTATTAACAGTAAAATGATAACAGACTCACAACTCTCAACAACTGAACCTAAAAAACAAACAAAAGCAAACTAAGCAAACTAGAACAGGAACAGAATCACAGAAATGGAGATCAGAGGGGAGGGGGAGTAGGGAGAATGGGGGAAAAGGTACGGGAATAAGAAACATAAATAGGTACAAAATAAACAGGGGGAGGTTAAGAACAGTATAGGAAATGGAGAAACCAAAGAACTTACATGCGTGACCCATGGACATGAACGGGGGCGGGGAGTTGGTGAGATGGGGGGTGCAAGGTAGAGGGGAATAAAGCGGAGAAAAAAATGAGACAGCTATAATAGCATAATCATTATATATATTTTAAAAAATAGTCAAAGTGCAGTGTCTGCAGCCCTTGCCATTCACTGCCCTTCCCATTTTTTTCCCTTTGGCATTTTCTCCAAGGGCCTGATAACCTAACACTTGTTTCCTCAGGGACCCTATTGTGAGCAAAATAGGTCAGTCCTTTCCAACCAACTTCACAACATATCCATTCTCTATCTCCTAGGATTTTGCCTTTGGGTCATAATAAATTTATAAGTGTCAATCTCTCAGCGACTTATTCTTCCTTCCAAGCTGACATACACGCATTTTAACAGGAGCCTTGTGGAGAAAGGACTGTAATCCAAGGGAATAAAAGTTGTTTAATAGTGGAAGTAGCCACGCAGGAGGTGGTAGGCACACAGCCCTTAGAAATGTTTCAGCTGAGACTGGTGACCCCATCTCAAGGTTGAGCTAGAAGATTCCTAGTCCCTTCTAATTCTGAAAAACCAATGAGTGACTAATGGTGGGAGTTACTCTTTTAAAAATTTATTTTATTGATTATACTATTACAGTATTTTTTTCCTCACCTTTATTCCCTCCACCCTGCACCCTGCTCCCACCAGCAACCCCCGCCCTTTAGTTCATGTCCATAAGTCGTACATATTAGTAAATTCTTTGGCTTCTCCATTTCCTATACTATTCTTAACCTCCTCCTGTCTATTTTGTACCTACCATTTATGCTTCTTATTCCCTGTACCTTTTCCCCCATTCCTTCCCCCACCCCTCCCCACTGATAACCCTCCACGTGATCTCCATTTCTGTGGTTCTGTTCCTGTTCTAGTTGTTTGCTTAGTTTGCTTTTAAGTACCACTGTCAATTGTGAGTGTGTTGCCATTTTACTGTTCATAGTTTCTGATCTTCTTCTTTTTCTTAGATAAGTCCCTTTAACATTTCATATAATAAGGGCTTGGTGTTGATGAACTCCTTTAACGTGACCTTATCTGGGAAGCACTTTACCTGCCCTTCCATTCTAAAGGATAGCTTTGCTGGATAGAGTAATGTTGGATGTAGGTCATTGCCTTTCATGACTTTGAATAGTTCTTGCCAGCGTCTTCTTGTCTGCAAGGTTTCTTTTGAGAAATCAGCTGATAGTTTTATGGGAAATCCTTTGTGGGTAATTGTCTCCTTTTCTCTTGCTGCTTTTAAGATCCCTTATCTTTAATCTTGCATAATGTAATTATGATGTGCCTTGGTGTGTGCATCCTTGGGCTCAACTTCTTTGGGACCCTCTGAGCATTCTGGATCTCCTGACAGTGTATTCCCTTTGCCAGGTTGGAGAAGTTCTCCTTCATTATTTTTTCAAATAAGTTTTCAGTTTCTTGTTCTTCCTCTTCTCCTTCTGGCACCCCTATGAATTGGATGTTGGAATGTTTCAAGTTGTCCCAGAGGTTCCTAAGCCTCTCCTTGTTTTTTTGAATTCTTTTTTCTTCATTCTGTTCTGGTTGAATGTTTATCCTTCTGCTCCTAGTCATTGATTTGAGTCCCAGCTTCCTTCACTTCACTGTTGGTTCTCTGTATATTTTTCTTTATTTCCTAGCCTTTATTGCCTAACCTTCACATTAGCCTTTATTTTGCGACCATACGCAACCATTTCTGTGAGCATCCTGATTACCAGTGTTTTGCACTGTGCATCTGATAGGTTGGCTATCTCTTCATCGCTTAGTTCTTTTTCTGGAGTTTTTATCTATTTCATTTTGGCAATATTTCTTTGTCTTGGCAGTCCTAACGTTGTAAGGGGTGGAGCATTAGGGATTCACCAGGGGAGGGCAACTCACATCACTGGGTTGTGGTGCTGTATGTGGGAAAGGGGTCAGAGAGGGAACAATGCCATTTGCTTGGCTCTCGGCTGGCCTTCAGTCATTTCCCCCAATATCCACAAGCAAATTGGACCCTTCTGGTGCTGATTCCTGAGTGGGTGGGTTTGTGCACATTCTAGGACTCTGTGGGTCTCTCCAGTGAACACTCCTGTGAGTCTGGGAGTTTCTCCCATCACTGCACCCCCCATAGATTTTTACAGCCAGAGGTTTTGAGACTTTCTTTTCCTGTGCAGTCTGTCTCACTCCCTTGTTGTTCCTCCCAGTTTATTCACATGCAACTGTGGGACCACCAGCTGCTGCCTTGCTGCCTCGCCCCATGTGGTCCTCCAGCCATCCACTTGCCATGCATCCTCTCCACCCCAGCTGCCCGTCTCTGCCCCTCCTGCCAGTCTGGATGCATGTTTCTTCTTTAACTCCTTGGTTGCTGACTTCCATACAGTTTGATTTTCTGGCAGTTCTGGTTGGTTTTTGTTTCTAAATTTGTTGTTGTCCTTTTGGTTGCTCAAGGAGGCAAAGTGTATGTATCTACACCTCCAAATCTTGGCCAGACCAGTGGTGGGGGTTTCAAGCACTTTAGCAAGTCAGTTCCAAAGCAGTTTTGCAAAGTCAGTCCCATACTTCTGTTTATGGCTGTGCACCCCACCTTCATAATACAAGCTATTTTTTCAGCTTCCCCAGCAGTTGCCAATAACCTGTAACATCTAAGAGCATTTTCTTGGCAAACCAGCATTCTGCATGAAAGGGAGGATTGGGGTTGGGGAAAATGGATTTGACAGTTTACAACTCAAAATATATTAACTGTGAGCTTTGTACCTTGGCAATCATAATTTATACAATAAATAATCCATTTGGTTGCTAAGCAATACCTCTCCTCATTCTTGACCTCAGTGGAGGTATTTGAACTCTGGACTTAAGAAATGTTCAGTTCCATTCAGCTTGCAGAATATGCTTTAGTTGTCCTAGCAGGAGCAGCCTATTATTTCTGCCCTGTACTTACCTCCCTAGGCTTGTATCTCACCTTCCATATCCTCCTTTCTGACATGAACCCAGCAGCCTTGAGTGTTCCCAGCCTTACTAATTGCAGACTTAGCATTCTGCAATCTTTAGGGACCCCCCATGCCCTAAGGCCTCACACCAAGCGCCAATTTGCCTGAACCTAATATGGAATCACATCTCGTCAACCTCCAATGGAGAAACTTCCCTTTGTAAAATTATGAAGGCCCAACAGATCCTACATCTAATATGAATAATAAGAATTTCTTTATCTAGTAACAAAATGTGCCTCTTTGAAAAGCTCCAGATTTTGGAATATGTTTTACATATATATATATAAAATTGGAACATTTGGAGACTATTGCTCTGCTAATACATAGATATTATCATCATTAAAATCTTTCCTCTAGAATAAAAAGTAAATTTGGTAAGAACTCTTTCTTATAAGATACAAGAATTTTTTAATTGAAAGAAAGAGCTTTTTATTGAGGAAGAAAAAATTACCTTTTAGCATATTGTAGTTGTTTTATATTTGTTCCCATTTCTTTAAGGCTTTTATAATGTTTAGTCATTTGTGGTAGTTTCTAATACATAAATAAATTATAGCATTTTGATTTTTACCTTTCATTTTTTACCTGAATTATAACCATTTAAATAGATTTGATAGCTATTTCCTTGAACAGTTGGGGCTTTTCTGGTTCCTCCTGATCCTGGGTCTTAACATAATATGCAAAGGAGAGAGCCAGAGAATAGAGGCAGAGGGTATTAACACCAAGTGACCAAATAATAAGGGTGACTGTATTTTTCTGCTATAGGAAGGAAGGGCATATACAGCCATGATATTCAGTAATTTCTTTTTCTTTCTAGAAGGTAGAAAATAACATGATGTAAGAGTGGTAGGAAGGAGGAAGACTAGTTGCTTTAACTTTCAGGGTAGGGGAAAGAAACATCACTCTGAAGTTGGAAGAAAGGTAAATGGATTTCCATTTCCTTCATTAAATATGTAATCCTGTATTTTGTTCCCCTCCTGTATCTCTCTGCTATATTTACTTCTGTCCCAGTTTTGCTCCCCCAAGAGCCATTTTGTCCACTATGGCATAAAGATGCCACAAAGCCCCTTTCTTTGGCCATGTCATCTCTTCACTTGCCCATTGGCTTACACTGTATTTCTGTTTTATTTGCAGGTCTGTGGCTGTCCTCTCTATTGGAAAGCCCCCATGTTCAGGGCTGCAGCGGGGGAGAAGACAGGATTTGTGTCAGCACAGTCATTTATTGCCATGTGGAGAAAGTAAGTATGTCATCAGTTTCTCTGAGGCTAGGCAAAGAATTCTCTGGTCCTCATGACATGCTTCATAAAGGTTATTTCTTTTATTCACTAATTTTCCCTTTACCCTTTATTTCAGCAAGTAAAAGTCAATGATTTTCAGCCATGTATACCCACACACAAAATCTTTCTATTAGCCTTTATCTTACGTCTCTAAGAAGTAAAATGGACCTTCAGAAATACCACTTTAATAACCATTTGACAGTTTCTTAGTTTTACATGTTAAATTTGGGTCTTAGGATTTGACTCTTTTAGAAGTGACATAAGAGCAAACCACATGTATCACATGAAAATACAGCTTTCATTCTTATATGATCTAATTTAGAATTGTATCTAGTTGATTTATTAAAAATAACTGAATTCCAGAGACAAGTGAAAAGAAACAAAAAAAATAACAATTCTAATAAATTTTAATTATTACTTTTTTTGTTTGTTTCATGGGACTTTTTTTAAGTATATTTTATTGATTATGCTATTACAGTTGTCCCATTTTTTCCCCTTTGCCCCCCTTCACCTGCTACCCCCATTCCCTCTAGCAGTCCCCCCCCCTTAGTTTATGTTCATGGGTTGTACATATGAGTTCTTTGACTTCTCTATTTCCTATACTGTTCTTAACATCACCATGTCTATTTTGAACCTACCAATTAGGCTTCATATTCCCTGAACTTTTTCCCCTATTGTCCCCATTCACCCTCGCTGCCAATAACCCTCCATGTGATTTCCATTTCTTGATTCTGTTCCTGTTCTAGTAATTTGCTTAGTTTGCTTTTGTTTTTTTAGATTCGGTTGTTGATAGTTGTGAGTTTGTTGTCATTTTACTGTCCATAGTTTTGATCATCTTTTTCTTAGATAAGTCCCTTTAACATTTCATACAATAAGGGTTTGGTGATGGTGAACTCATTTAGCTTTACCTTATCTGAGAAGTACTTTATCTGCCCTTCCATTCAAAATGATAGCTTTGCTGAATAGAGTAATCATGGGTGTAGGTCCTTGCTTTTCATCTCTTTGAATACTTCTTACAAGTCCCTTCTAGCCTGCAAAGTTTCTTTTTAGAAATCAGTTGACAGTCTTATGGGAACTCTTTTGTAGATAACTCTGCCTTTCTCTTGCTGCTTTTAAGATTCTCTCTTTATCTTTAACCTTTGGCATTTTAATTCTGATGTGCCTTGGTGTGGTCCTCTTTGGGTCCAACTTGTTTGGGACTCTCTGTGCTTCCTGGACTGGTATGTCTATTTCCTTTGTCAAGTTGGGGAAATTTTCTTTCATTATTTTTTAAAATAAGTTTTTGATTTCTTGCTCTTCTCTTTTTCTGGCATCCCTATGATTCAGATGTTGGTACGTTTGAAGTTGTCCCAGAGGTTCATACGCCTCTCCTCGTTTTTTTGAATTCTTGTTTCATCTTTCAGTTTTTGGTGAATGTTTATTTCTTTTGTTCCAAATCATTGATTTGAGTCCCAGTTATCTTCCCTTCACTGTTGGTTCTCTGTATATTTTTATTTCACTTTGTATAGCCGTCACTTCTTCCTTTATTTTGTGGCAGTCATTTCTGTGAGCACCCTGATAACCAGTGTTTTGAACTCTGCATCTGATAGGTTGGCTATCTCCATGTCTCTTAGTTCTTTTTCTGGAGTTTTGGTCTATTCTTTCATTTGGGCCATATTTCTTTGTCGCCTCAATTTGGCAGCCTCCCTGTGTTTCTGTGTATTGGGTAGAGCTTCTTTGACTCCCCATGTGGGCTCACCTGTTACATTGTAAGGGGCAAAGTCTTAGGTATTCACCAGAGAGGGGAACCCACTTCGCCACTTTGTGGTGCTGTATGTCGGGGAGGGGTCAGAGAGTCATCAGAGCCGCTTGCTCGGCTCTCACCCCATTTCCTGTCACTTCCCCCACTTCCCTTAATCATCTGATGCCCTTCTAGCTGCTTCCCTTTTGCTGATTCCCAGAGTGGGTGGGTTTGGGTACATCCTTGGAACCTGTGGGCCCTTTGAACAGACTCTCCTGAGAAACCAGCAATTTCTCCCACTGCCCCAACCCTCACTAGTTTTTACAGCCAGAGGTTATAAAACTTTATTTCTTAGTCTTATAACCCTGGGATGCAGGATCTGGCCTGGAGTTGGGATCACTCACTCCCCAGTTGTCCCTCCCTGTTTTTATCCACTGCACATGAATGTGGGACCACCCATTCTGCCAGCGGCAGGTGCCACCACACTGCGTCCATGCCTCCCCTCCTACCCCACCTAGCGAATGTTTCTTTAAATCTTTGGTTGTCAGACTTCCATACAGTTCAATTTTATGGCAGGTCTGGTTGTTTTTTATTTTTAGATTGCTTGTCATCCTTCTTACGGTTGTGGGAGGAGGCAAAGCAAGTCTACCTATGCCTCCATCTTGGCTGGAAGTCTAATCATTACTTTTTGAAAGCTCCAGTTAAGGAACAAATAAATAGTACATTTATCAAAACACTTCTGTATTTTAACATTTTTACAAGTTTCCTTGAATCAAACCCAACTTCTTTTTTCTGCCCCACTTTCTTCTTTAGAAGTTATTTCTTCATATATTTGTACATTTTAAGAGTATATCACAGCTAGCTCCTTCTACCTCTTTTAACTGATCAGCTTTCTTTATAGATGTACTTCTAACCTTTTCTGGGCCAGGTACCCTTCCTGGTAAACTCTTGGGATATTCTTTGCACCTGTCATCATCATCATTATTTAAAATCCATATGTAATAGCAGCAGAATTCAGCTTACAGATACCTTTTCATCCCTTTATGCTACTTAAGAGCCACTTGTAGTATAATGCTTAAGAATATAGTAGGTGAATAGTAAATGTATTCTTGTTTTTTAAAATCTAGCCATAAATTGAGTTCATCAAGTTCTTCATGCATTACATTAGAACTGAAGTAATCAAGGTGTATAAGACTACGAGTTAATGGACTTCTTTTGAAGAACCACACCAAAGCTAAAAGTTACAAATGATTCATGTTTTCCATGTGAAGTTTAGTCATTTTGTTAGAGGGAGTACTAAGTTATCCAGCTACTAAGGACTAAAAGAGCACTAAAAAACCCATTTATTCCTCGTAAACTATCAGGATAATACTCCAAAGTCAGTGCCATTGTCACCATTTCACCTCTCCTATAGCAAATGGAAAACTGCTAGCTAAAATCTACAAAATTTTTAAAAATGTGTGGATAAGCAATCCTAAAAGGGAATTAATTGGAGGCTAGAAATAGCAACAACAACAACAAAGCCACAACCCACTAATTAGCCGGGAGTAAGCCAGCAAAGAAATTAGCATTTGCCCTTGGAGTATTTCTAGCAGAAGTTGGGGGAGGAAAATAGAGCCTAGAGCCTGAGCAGTAAGTAGGGAGTTTGGCTTGGATTCTCTCCCTTTTCCCCACCATTAAAGCCAGGACTAAAGCTGGGTAATGTGATTATCTATTATTAATTACTTTTTTTATAATTTTAAATCAGCATATAACAGTAGCAGAATTCAAGAACTTGAAATATGTACATGTTCTAGTTTTCATTCAGCTAGTAGCTTCTTTTAGGTACTGAAGAGACTTCAGCTGGAATGCAAACCAGGGGTAGAAAAAATAGGGGTAATTTGTCAGAGGTGTCTTCAGCCACAGAGTTCAGCATAGCTGGCAAAACCATCTAACAATCTGGGAAAGCAGGAACAGGTGAATTATGATTGTTTAAGAGAAAACTTTGAAGAAAGCTGGGAGACTAAAAAAAAAAAGAAATAGCCTATTCTGTAAAAGAGCCAGAGAGAACTAACTACTTATATTCTAAGTTATTTTGAATATTCTAAGACCCTATGATTGTGAGCCTGAGGCTGACTATTGCAAAGGAAAACTAGTGTCCAACCTGGTTTACCTGCAATTAGCTGCATAATATTGAGGAAAATAACAACCCGTTTGGGGGTTTGTTTTGGGGGTTTAGTTTGGTTTTTTTTTTTTGTTCTGTTTTTTGGTCTTAAGACTGTCTCACTAAGATAGGATGGACATTTATGTTGGTGGATAGAGCAGCAGCGGCAGCCACAACTGTCTTCCTTTATTGAGGTAAATCATTTTAATATGTATCTAGGGAAAAGAGATTTCTGCAAAAGGCAAAAGAGGGAAAAAGACAAGCACAAGTCTTCATTTTAGAAACTGGAGGAAACTACTTATGAAGTTATACAACATGAGCAACTGTCCTGCTGTTTTGTTTTGTTTTGTTTTGTTTTGTTTCGTTTTTACTTTAAAAAAATTCTATGACTAGATTAATGTCTGTAGTAAAACTTTATCTTCTGGCCAGATATAAATAAAATGCTTGGAGTGCCCTCTAGTGGGAGCTCCTCTCTCAGCTCTTAAAATGCCTTTTAAAAGCCAAGTGTTTTAAGGGAGACCCCAAGTATGATTATTTTGGGAGATTAAGCAACTAAACATGATGGTTTAAGTTACCACACTGACCTCGAAAAAGTCACTTGTACGTTTTTGTAATGTTTTTAGAAATTGTACCCTTTCCATAAAGAAACTTGGACCAAACTATAGTATTTTAAACTTCCAAGTATAAAAAATAACTGGCAGATAATGATACAAAACTAAAGCATACTGACATACACAAATGACTTCCAGTGATAGGCTTTATATAATTGGCAGGAAAAGTCAAGTAGAAAAATCACAGCATAAGAGGAAATAATTTCCCTCCTGTCCCAATAGTTCTGGGGTGAACGCTTCCTAGCCCCCTCTAGGTGATTTGTAAATAAACATATAATGGGCTCCTGTTCCTCTGCCTCCCTTCTTTTCGACCTGGGCTGGTTTGCCCCTCCTTAGGCAACCTGGTGGCCCCCCGGCCTCCCGCTCCCGTGAGGTGACCATATTGATATCGAACTTAGTGCGGACACCCAACGGGCATAGCATAGCACACTACAGCCCAGAACTCCTGGGCTCAAGCAGTCCTCCTGCCTCAGCCTCCCAAGTAGCTGGGACTACAGGTATGCACCACTGCGCCTGGTGCTTCCCTTCTTTTCCTACTCTCCGTTTCATATTTCTATTCTGATATGTTTTTCTTATATTGAGGACATTTTTAGGAGAAAGACATTGCTCCACAATTCATTTTTTTGTTTGTTTGTTTGAGTTTGTAGATTTACCAACTTTGTGGCAAAGGTCCTCTCAAATGGAGTCAGTAATATTGTTCCAATATTTTTTATGCTTTATTTTCTCTTCTTTTTATGTCAATATGTCATTTGTCCATTAACAAAACAATATTTTATCTAAGAGCTCTAGAAGATACCAGTTTAGAATAGCTATGTTTACCTCCTTTCTTCTGCCATATTGAGTTCACCAGCTACTAGCATTGGCTGAAAAATCACGTTTTCTTTGTATTTCATCTCTATTTTTAGTAGCAGAAGACCATGTCTGATTTGACTTTTCCCTTTCAGAATATCTCTTACCTGTCATATGTGTGTGGGTTTTATTTAGTAGTGTTATCCTTTCTTTTTAAAGTACTCCTTTCCAAAGATGTCACTGCCCTTTTGTTGTGATCAGCTGACCCATTTTCCAATCCTAAGAGGTTCCTATCAACACACATACTGCACTAATCTTTTTCTGAGATGTATGTTTAACTTTGGGGGCCTTGAGCATGCTGAAGAATGATAAAGAGGATAAATATAAATATCATACTACAGCGTTAATAATAACAAATGAGGTTAGTTAAGTATACATCTGTTAGATCATAAACATTTTTTGAGAATCTTCTATGTGAAAGCTGCTGTGCTAAGTGCTAAGGGAAAAAAGAGCTATAACTTTGCCTGCTCTTTAGGTGCCAGAGAGATCAAAGAAAGCTAATACTACAGTGGTATATATATTATGTATAAATTAAATAGTACAAAGATCACCAAGGAATTTAGGTGTCAGAGAAGGCTGTTTTGGAAGAGGTGGATTATTAGCTGGACCTTAAAGAATAGCTAGCATTCAGAAAGCAGAGTTGGGAGGGGTGGTATTCTAGGAGAGGAGGACAGTATGAGAAATGGCACAGAGACAAGAATGCACGTGAAACACTCAGAGAATAGTGGGTCAGACTGGCGGCCTGAAGAGTAAGCTTCATTTAGCACAGTAGTAAGGTAGGTAGATAGGCTTCAGCCTTAAATTACAGAGGGCCTTAAATGTCCAACTTAGGCATTTAAAGTTACAAAAGTGGTAGAGGGCTACTGAACATTTTTGAAAACAGGAATTATAGAATCAAAGTGTGCTTTAGAATGAAGAATTGTCTGTATAAGATGGGATGAACAGTGAAGCCTGTTATATTCCCTTTCCTGTCTAGCAGTCTCAGCATGAAGTAATAAAACCTGGACTTGGTGGTACAATGGAAATAGAAAGGAAGGAATGGTTGCCTGAAACATTAGAGGAAATATTCCTCAGGTCTCCAGTAATTCCCATCCTTAGTGGTCCAAGCTAGAAACCTGGGAGTCATAATGGACTTTTCCCCCCTTACCTCTTCCCCTCCACTCCATACACAACTGCTGCGTCCTTTCATTTCACTCACATCTGTCCTTCTCTCCATCTCCCGCTGCCAGTATCCATGCTTAGGCTTTTGGTTGAACTTCTGCTTGATATTTCCGAAAAACAAGTTGGTCACGTTACTGTCCAAGTTGAAATTTCTCCGTGGAGGAGGCTAAAGACCAGGCATCTTGATAACATAAGGGGGGCCTCCAGGATCCAATCCTATGTGCCCATGCCGCCTTCTCTTACCACCCCAACCCTTATAGTTGCCAAATACTCCATGCATTCTCATACTAGGCATTTGTACATGTGACCCTTTCAACACAAAAAAACCTTTTTTCCTATTTCCCCTTTTAAGGGAATCTCACTGGCCCTTCTGTGCCCTTCCATGATACCCTGTGCTTATTACTTCTGGTGAGGCCATCACAAGGGAGTATAATCTTACTGGTGTAGCTGTCTCACTAGACCATAAGCTTCTCACAGGGCACAGAATTGCCTCTTACTTTCTTTGTATCCCAAGTATCCTCCAGGCTAGGTACAGTACCTGACCTACAATTAGCATTCAATAAATAATTAAGAAAGGGAAACAAGAAAATTTGGCAACTAATTAGATATAAAGAATAAGGATGAGAAACCGGGTAAGTCTAAAATGACTTCAAAATTTTAAGCCCAGAAAACTCAGGATGGCACCACCATTAACAAAAATAGACATCCATGAAAAGAGCTCACTTTGAGAGGAGGTTTTAAATTTGGTTTTTGATATTTTGATTTTGCTGTCAGAATATAGAATACAAATGGAAATGTCCAGCAATTAGTTGGATGTGAGGAATTCTTCAAGCTCGAAGACTTAATATAGCATTCTTTTTTTTTTTTCAGCCTGATCTTTCAAAGTCTAATTTCAAAAGTCCCCTCTGAGGTTGGCCATAAATATGTCTGCCAGTCTGGGCAAACAGAATTTTATATCTTTTGTGGTACACAATGGTCCCTCCTGACTGGTGGGTAGCTCTGAGGTTCTGGCCCCAGGTGTTCTGTGCTAAACCTGAATGGACATTCTCCTGCAAGTGTATTGTTATCTGCATTAGTACAGTTGACTCTGTGGTCTGAGCCCAGAAGTATCCTACAAAAAAATATACCATCCTGTTATTGAGCTTTTATTTACATGTTCCTTTGATAAATTCAAGAGCATGGAAAAATTCCCTTTTTTTAATCATTGAAAGGAGAGCATTTAATTCTTGATCTGAATGGCTTTCAGATCAGACTGAAACTGCCAGCTGTTGACGTTGCTGTCACTGTTTATCATAGCCAATCTTCTAAGCGGTTGTTTCTTTCATAGGTTGCTGAATAATCATCATGATGATGCCTCTAAGTTTATCTGTCTTCTCGCAAAGCCCAGCTGCAGCTATCTAGAACAGGAGGATTTTATCCCTTTGCTTCAGGTAATTTTCATTTCTTTTTTTAAAATGAGTTTTATTCTTAAAATAACAGAAACTTAAAAAGAGTAAACCTATGAAAGTGAATGGGATGGTAGAGAAGAGCAGAGGGAAGAAAATCAATATACAAGAGATTTCAGTATTTCTTGAAGATAAAAAGCAGAAGCTGGTTAAGGAACCACAGCCCAGAAGGAGGGACTGTGTAAGGACTTCAGTGGAAAAGTGAGCTACTCTGCTTTACACTGCTCTTTAGGACCCCAGAGAGGCTGTACACTCTCGTAACCCTGAGCTCATTAGAAATAGAGATTCATTGAAGGTTGGTATACAGAACAATTGACCAGCTGACTTCCTACCTGGTTCCCAAATATAAAGTATAACCTGGCATTGACTCACATGCATGAACAAACTGACAAAACAAATAATAAAGCATGTTAAGACAAATTCCAGTAGAGGGATGTCCTAGATATTATCTAACCAGTACTTCTCAAAACTGCCAAAATTGCCCTGGCTGGTGTGGTTCCTTGGGTTGAGTGCCCCCCGGCAAACCGAAAGGTCACCAATTTGAGTCCTGGTCAGGGCATATGCCTGGGTTGCAGGCCAGGCCCCCAGTTGGGGGCTTGCAAGAGGCAACCAACTGATGTTTCCCTCTCTTTCTTCCTCCGTTCCCCTCTTTCTGAAAAATAAATTAATGTTTAAAAAAAAAACCTGTCAAGGTCATCAAAACAAGGAAAGTCTGAGGAACTGTCACAGTCATAAGGATCGTAAGAAAGTATGACAACTAAATGTAATATGAGATCCTGGATAGGATACTGGCACAGATAAAAGACATTAGGTAAAAATTAAGGAAATATGAATAAAGCATGGCCTTTAATAATAGTAGTAATGTATCAATATTGGTTTACTAATTACGACTATTGCTAATGTAAGACGTTAATAATAAGGGATACTAGGTGCAGAATACATAGGAACTCTATACTATCTTCTCAATTATTGTGTAAACCTAAAATGTTCTAAAAATTAAAAGTATTTTTTAAATATATTCTGTTTTCATAACATTCTATTCCTACTTGGAATAGAAGAATAAAGTAGGAATAGAATGTTATGAAAACAGAATGCTACCAGAACAAAAGAGCTATTAGAATTTTAAAACATAAGTACTCAAATTAAAAATTTCAACATAAGGATTGGAAACTAAAGTTAAGGATATTTCTGGCATGCACATGCATACATGCACCACATACACAAGGAAGAGAAACATAGAAGACCATGAAACATAGAAGACCATTCAAGAATTTCAACATCTAACTAACTGGAGTCTGCGAAGGAAGAAGGGAAAAAATGGAGGGAAGGAATTTATTTAAAAAAAGAAGAAGAAGAAGCAGAATCATTAATATAGGAAGGAGAGAATTGGAGAGATTCGAGTAATAGGGTGGGTCCACAGAGCAGGTACCCACTGGGAATCTTGGAATTCTTGTTTTCCTCCTTGGAGGAAACAACACACCTGTGTAACCAGTGGCTGATCAAAAACAGAACATGACCCTCCCACACCAGCCTCTCATGTTCCCTCTAGTCGCTGCTCACAGAATCAAATACAGAACACAATTCTTGGTTGAAAGGAGCCACTGAGTGCCAAACACAGTAAATAAAAAAGGCATACATAAACATGTCCTCTTGAAATTTTAGAAAAATATTGATGTAGAGAAGATACTAAAAGCTTCCAGAGAAAAAGATCACTTTAATAGGAATAAGAATCGCTGTGTTATTAGATTCTCATTGACAACTCTGGGGAAATGGATTTGAACTCAAATTTCTATGTCCTGCCAAGCTCTTAATCAAATATGAGGTTTGAATAAAGATATTTAAAAACTCAGTTTATCTCCTATTTTCTTAGAGGTTTACAGTGGTCCCTCCTCTTTACCTGTGGTTTTGCTGGCCAAAGTTTCAGTTAAACTTGTTCAACCACAATCTGAAAATACTAAATGGAAAACTCCAGAAATAAACAATGTATAAGTTTTAAATTGCAGGCCATTCTGAGTAGTGTGATAAAATTTTGTGCCATCCTGTCTGGACATGAATCATACCTTTGTTCAGCGTATCCACTCTGTATATGCTACCCACCCCATTAGTCACTGAGTAGCCATCTTAGTTATTAGATCAGTTGTCATGGTATGAGAGTACTTCTGTTCACGTAACCCTTATTTAACTTACATATAGCCCCAAAGCCACTCACATCACTTTTATTTTCATAAGAGAAAACTTTTATTACAGTATATTGTTATAATTGTTCTATTTTATTATTATTGTTGTTAATCTCATACTGTGCCTAATTTATAAATTGAGCTTCATCATAGGTATGTATATTTACGAAAAAACATGGTATAATGCAGGGTTTTGTACTGTCCGTTGTTTTAGGCATCCACGGGGGGGGGGGGGGTCTTGGAACATATCCCTTGCAGATAAGGGGAGAATAGAGTACTTGAATATATCCTGCAGCAAATTAAGCAAACCAAGAAAGAAGAATGCATGAGATCCAGGAAAACATGGATTCAATCCAGAGAAACAGTGAAGTGAAGTCCTAGGATGGCAAATGAAGTGCTGGAATGCATTGCAAGAGAACAGGAAAATTATTTCAAGAGATAATGGTCCAAATGTCTATACGTGATAAAAACTGTAAACTCACAAACCCAAGATGCTCTGTGTGCCCAAAACACAAGAAATACAAAGAAAACTACACCAAAGCGCATCACAGTAAAATGGCTCAAAACCAGTAATAAAGAGAAAGTCTGGGAAATAGTCATATTTCACAGAGTGAAACAAAGATAAAGATGACAGCAGATTTCATTTTGGAAACAGTCCAAGGCAGAAGACAGTGGAGCAACATTTTTAAAAGTACTGAGAGAAAATAACTCTCAACCTAGAATACTATAAACAGTGAAAATATCTTTCAAAAATCAAAGTGAATTAAAGATATTTTTAGGCACAGAAGAAATGAAAGAATCACCAGCAGAAATGAGAACAAAACTGGAAACATACATTCTGACTTAAAACATACTACAAAGCTACAGCAACAAAACAGTATGGTACTGGCATACAGACAGACATATAGATTGATGGAACAGAATAGAGATCCCAGAAATAAATTCTTGTCTGTATGGTCAGGTATCTTCAACATGGGTGCCTAGTGTACACAGTAGGGAAAAGATAGTCTCTTCAAAAAATGAAGTAGGGAAAACTGGATATTCACATGCAAAAGAAATCTTATACTCTTATACTATATACAGTAAATAACTCAAAGTGGATTAAAGTCCTAAACATAAGACCTGAAACTATAAAACTTCTAGAAGAACACACGGGGTAGAGCTTCATGACACTGGATTTGGCAGTGATTTCATGGACATGGTACCAGAAACACAGGCAACAAAAACAAAAATAGACAAATGGGACTACATCAAACTTAAAAACTTCTGCACAACATAGGAACAATCAACACAGTGAAATGCAGTCTACAGAATGGAAAAAATATTTGCAAAAATTGGTTAAAGAGTTAACATCCAGAATATACGAAGAACTCTTATGATTCCATACTAACCAAAAAAAAAAACAAAACAAAACCCTGATTTTAAAATGGGCAAAGGATTTGAATGGACATTTCTCCAAAAGAGATAAAATGTCTAATAAGCATGTGAAAAGGTGTTCAACATCACCAAATAAGCAGGGGAATGCAAGTCAAGACCTTAATGAGATACCACCTCACACTCATTAGGATGGCTTTTTTTTTTTTAAAGCAGAAAACAACTGTTGGTGAAGATGTGAAAAAATTGGAACACTTGTGCACTCTTTATGATAATGTAAAATGATACAGACACTATGGAAAGTAGCATGGAATGTTCCTCAATAAATTGAAAATAGAACCAGCAATGCCACTGCTGGGTGTATATCCAAAAAAATTTAAAACAGAACATTATTTAACCTTTTTAGAAAAGAGCAATCTGTTACACGCAACAACATGGACAACTCTCAAGGACATTATGCTAAATGAAATAAGCCAGTCACAAAAGGATAAATACTGTGTGATTACACTTATATGCGGTATCTGAAGTAGTCAAACTCAGAGAGGTAGAAAGGAGAATTATGGTTGCCAGGCAGCTTATGGGGAGGGTGAGGTGGGTAGTTGTTTTGTGGGTACAGAGTTTTAGTCATGCAGGATTGAGGTTGAGACTATCTGGAGATCTGTGGCACTACAGTGTGCAAGTCGTTGACAGTATTGTACTGTAAACTTGGAATTGTTGGGAGAATGAAATTTATGTTATGTGTTTTTTGCCACTAAAAGAAAAAAAAGCTAGGCCTTTCAGCTGGAACCACCATCTTCAAATACTTTGTCAAAATGACTTAACACAAAGGAAAAGTGCTGTATGTTCTCTAGGCCTTTTAGAAAACATTGAGTTGTTCCTTTGGCTACATACATGCCAATCTACAAGAAAGATGGTATTGTAGACATCAAGGGACCTGGCACTGTTCAAAAAGGAATGCCCTACAGATGTTACCGTGGAAAAACTGGAAGAGTCTACAGTGTCACCCAGCATATACAGTGGACAGTGTTGTAAACAAACAAGTTAAGGGCAAGATTTTTACCAAGAGAAATAATGTATATATTGAGCATATTAAATACTCTAAGAGCTGGGATAGCTTCCTGAAACATGTGGAGGAAAATGATCAGAAAATGAAGAAAGCCAAAGAGAAAGGATCCTGGGTTCAACTGAAGCTCCAAGCTGCTCCACACACAGAAGCACACTTTATGAAAGCGAGTGGGTAGGAGCCTGAGCTGCTCGAACCCATTCCTTATGAATTTATGGCATGATAAGTGTAAAAAAAAATAAAAGACCTTTGTATTTAAAGAAAGAGAGAGAAGGAGGGAGGGAGGGAGGAAAAAAGGGAGAAGGGGGAGGGGGAAGGATAGAAAGAGGGGAAGAAGGAAGCTGAGTGACTGTATTAATATCACAGAGTTT